ACTTTTCAATAATCTTTTTAGATTTGTCGATATGTGTCAAACTGATGGTTCGATTATTGCTTAGTTAAATTTATTACATCTAGATAGATATTTAATCTATATTTTAAAATAATTGAATAACAGAAGCGAGGCCAGTTGAATATGTCTAATAGATTATATTTTTAAATTCTCTCTTCTTTGAGAAATTTAATAACAATACTTTTTATATGCGATTTGCAGTATCATGATAGATTTGATACTACTGATGCCTCATCATAGTCTTTATTGAAAAGTTCTTAACTAATACTTTTTAAATATTACTATGCTCATTAGATAGCATTAACAGATCGTATAGAATCCACTTGACGAATAAGTAATGCTCACGTTATCATAAAGAAAATGACAAACATTGTTTCTTGACATGTTATCATCTTCTTACGACAAGTAAAATTTGTTCTCCTCTTACAGACTAAGATTTTTCTCTTGTCTCTACTTAATACTGCGATACTTAACCAATCTTTGAACGCCTATCATTATATCGCATCATTGCAGTGTCCTTTTCATAAAATCCACCAAATTTTCGGTACTAAATCGACAAGTATAACTAAGCAATAGCCGAGCTATCAGTTTGACACATATTGATGAATATAAAAAGATTGTTGAAAAGTAATTTGAATTTGCTATCAAACATTGTTATGGTGTCTTCTAACCTTTGTTGTAGATAAATAAATCTAATGTACTTCTTATTAAAGTGATATTACTTGTTCTCAGAACTTTTTGACTGTCCTATGTATATTTATTGTAGGTTGCACATTCGAACAAAATTGATTAATTGCTAACATAGAATATGTTCTATCATTAAAGAACTTTCTCGTCACGTTTTGACATATTAATTGAAGGAATGGTTTCGATCATAGAAATGGAGTAGATTCATAGATAGAGAAGATGGATGCGAAGGAAATATTGTTGAATATTACTACAGAGGGAAATCAGGTGTAACAATCGACACGAAGTTGCACAGTATTGAAATTTTCAAATGACATGATCTCATTTCCATTGTAGAAGATTCGTATTCTGTAATTATATCGGAAGCAGAACCTTTGCTAAGCGTCATTTATATGTCAAAAGCAATCGCATCTATGCAACAATGTCTGACGTGATGACTGTTCAAGCAGTAAATGCTCTTCTCATACATTATGATTGAGTGCAATGATACATAAATAGGCATTGCAACTTTTTTTACTATTATCACTCTCACCATAACTTGAAGTATTTTTTTCAGTTGCTCTCCATTCCTTTTCGAGCTAATAGATCTTCTTATTAATCGAGATATAGCGTAATTCATGAATCGTAGTTTCATGTCATGTCTTAAAATTGCATTACACTATCATTTAACGTACTATTGAGAAGACTCCTAATGATTTTTTTTAATCAAACCACAAAATATGAGGCAATAAAATTCGAGTCTAGTACTCTATGAACGAAGGTTTCTCTGGCTTGTCGTATGAATTTTTCGTTTTATTGAGAGAAATTTTGCAGCCAGTTGTGCATTCATTGAATTTCGAGTACAACTAATTCCGAGAAGTTCCATAGTTCAATGGAGAATAAGCGATACTTAGAATCCCAAATAGTAAAAAATACGCTCAAGAAGATAAAATATAAATATAAATTCAGTTTGTTCAAAATTCGAAGATCTAGCTGAAAGGTTGGGGTATTTTCGTTAATACGGACACTTCTGTTGACTGAATATGCGAATCGACCTCATGAAATTAGAAATTTTCTCTCTTTATAGAAACAACGCTTGATAATAATTGAGAATGTTCTACCTATCTCTGATAGTTTAGATACCTTGTTAAGTGTTTTTTTAACCTTATCACGACTTCGAGAAAAACTTAAAATCAATCCTACGAGATTCAAAGCAGGTAAAAAATGATATGACAGTCAAGTAGAAAATCGCGACATGTTTTTATACATTCGTTCATGAATCTCATTCGGAAAAATTCGAGAACTCCGAATATTCTTGAGACCGTACGATTTCAATTAATCATAATTTAAGTAACATTACATCAATTAGTGAGAGACATAGGCAAATGAAACGACAATTCATAGAAAATTAGATGCAGTTCTATAACAAATTCAGCTAGGAATCGAATGTTAATCAATTACATACACTCTAAATGTATCAGATCTTCATTTTCTTTAGTGTTCATTCAGAAGAGACAGTCCTCTACTTGAACAACTATAGTCTATTTAAAAGAAGACACACGAATGCTGATAAACGGATCCCAAAGCACTGAGAAGGGTGTGGATGTATAGTCATTTCATTGGATCACAACAACTTTGACATTTGACTTTTGCTCTACTGATATGTCATTATTATATATAATTAAATACACGAAGAAATAATAGATGAATTGTTCGAATGAAAAGACATGGTAAAAGCTGAAGGTACGTTACTATTACGTTTCTTGTTATGATCGATGAAAAAGAAAAACAAAAGAGTTCACACATCTTATATGAAGTGTAAAGGGAGTAAGTTACACTTTGTCTTGTTCCGCATATTACTGAACTAATCATTCGTTTACAAACTGTAACACCGAACATAATAAATCTAACACTTCAACCAGTATCATTCAGCTATGATGATAATGTGTCGAATGTAACAGCAGTTATCGAATATAGTACTGCCACAATCTATTGCTTTGATCCTTTTAGTTTGACATTCTTACGAAATATGTGTTTGTAAACCAGTATGAGCATTGCATTACATAACGATTTACTTTTTACATCACAAAATTATGATCCAAAGATTTACGTAGTTGATAGTCAAACAAATAAACAAATAACAAATATCAGTCATTCAAGTGTGGCGGATCAAATTAATTCTGCGACAAATTATACATTTGAGATTAGTTATTTGAAATTATTTTCCATTATTGGAAATTGACCTCTTTTCTTCATCACTTTTCAGCAACTTCTTGCATATCCATTTTCTACAGTCCATGGACTCGCTAAAGTCAATGATACTTTGTTTTATACATCGACATGAACTAATTGGCGACTTGTTGCTTATCAATATCAAAATACAACATGAAGCTCGAAACAATTTGTAAATACAATCAGAAGTGATAGTACATCAGGCAAATTGAAACATCAGTTTAGGATCGAATACGATTTTTGCCATTCTTCTACTTCCGAATTATGTTTTATTAGTCATGTAAATTAACGCTCAGAAAATCATTCAATATGATCCGCAATTAATATGTTAATGAAACAATCAATCGTCGAAACAAACATATTCGATTAACGTATCTCTGACAAAATTATATAAATATTGAAATTTCTCATAATTTAATTTCATATTCTATGGATTTTTATGAAAAAAAAAACTCAATCAAAGAAATGATATTTTGCTGATTAAAGTTTGCGGAATGTCAAAATGCAAGAAATTTGATTGAGCGAGTACAGAAAATGAATGTATGAAATTGTCTCATTCAATCTTCTAAAAAAAACAGATTGGATGAAATTATGAGAATTTCTGAAAAGATTTTACGGATTTTTTCGTTCGATAATGCTGATAAATCGTTAGTGAATTAAAATCTTCATGTGATTTCATGAGAATATCACATTATTCAATAGTAATCAGTTTTTGTCTCATCGAGGCATAGAAACTGCGAAGAAATGCCAATAATCTATGATATGTAGTGAACACTTTACACACTAGACAAGTATAACATTAACAATTAAAAACATGAATTTTTCTTACATAATGCTTTTGAGATCATAAAATATATTCACTAAATTAAGATAGCTGCTGTATGATAGATCAGCACTCGACTTCAATCACAACCGTCTCGATATTTAAAGACAGAAGTATAGCTGCTTTAATGATAGCTATTGTTGGAATCCACATCTCTGAAGTCAATTGTCGGTAAGCTGATCGATCCCTCTTTTAAGATGTCGATCTTCTCTTCAAATCTACTTCACATTCTACTCATAGGCCATTTTTTTTGTGGTCCGGTACGAGATCAAAGACACTTTCTGGTCCGTTAAAAACAATTGAAAGAAACAAAATCATTATTCCATCTTGAACTTCTGCTTGTCTTCTATAAACTTCGATATCAATTAATTTATCATGACACGATTCGAGTCGAACTGTAATCTATAGCAAATTCGAAATCATCTCTTTTCTATCTTTATTAGCAGTACATCTGACATATTTGAAATAAATTTTGTTGTATAACAGAAACTTGCATACATCGAATATATAAGTTACATAAATTTCAACTTGACGAATTTTCGAAATCGGACTCTACAGTCTGTTTCAAATTCATACTGCTAAGCATTACAGAGTGTACAAAATATTTATACGAATAAGACTTTTTATGAAAATTAATGAGGTAAACTTGGATTCAGTCAGGATCGAAATTTCGATCTCCTGAATATATAAAATTATTATAACAAAACCTACAATTGTAATATGAGACCTATTCGCGCAATCCCTATAGAATTAAAATGTGAAACACAATATAGCTGCTGTTGCTAATCACAAAGAGATTGTTTTATTCTATCAATTTTGGAACACATTTCTTCGTCATCCTCTTAATTAATCGTTCAGAAATGCAATTAAGAAGTAGTTCATATATTAGAACGAAACATTATCGATATACAACCTTTGATCGTATATCGATAACATCTGTCAAAGATCCAAATTTTTACCCATATACTTCAACACTTCTTTTAGATCGTGTTTTACAAAGAAATGTATCACATTAGAAATAAATGAAATTAAAACAAAAAATTCTATAAAATTTTTTATATGTATTGCCTTGTTCACTAATGAGTATGTTTATAATATATCACTTAAAACCAAAAACATATGATTTAGAATAGAAACAATAATTAAAAAGAAAAAAAAAAGAAGAAAACTGACTCATTTAACTATAATAAATGGAATAAATAAACGTGAATATGATTATAACAAAGTAGAAGATAAAAACAAAATTGTTCTATAAATTATTTTAAAGTTCTTCACCTGCACCTTTCTTTTTTGTTCCATCACGTTCATAACCATTAAGTGGTTCTGTAGCTTCTTTAGCTAAATATTTAATAAAGTCATCAACTTCACGTCCACCCTAAATAAATCAAATCAATTTAAATATGTTATAAAATTCAAATAAAAATATCTTACTTGATATTGTTTTGGATTATTTTTATCATTTTTAGGTGCAAAATAAAGTGTTGGAAAACCTCGAACATTATATGAACTTGGAACATCATTTGCAGTAGCATCCATTTTAGCACTAAATAAAAAACCAGTAATTTTTTTTTTTGTTTTTTTTGAAATATAAATTTATTTTTCTATTTATCCTTACATGACAATATTAGTTTCACCTTTCAATGTCTGAGCTAATTCATCATATTTAGGAGCAAGTGTTTTACTAAAAATGAACATAAGATTCTATACAAAACAAAAAAAAATCAATAAACTATTTATCTTACCAATGACCACACCTACAAAAGAAAAAAAGTCATTAAAAAAGAAAAAAAATTTAATATTCTTTACCATGGAGCATAGAATTCAATTAAAACATCTTTAGTATTATCATTAACAATTTCATCAAAATTTTTTGCAACAAGAACTTTAACACCATCAGTTTGTTCAGGAATTGGTTCTGATTTTAAATATGGTTCAAGATCACCTTTAGCTACTTTACGAGCAAATTCTTCAAGAGCTTCATAACTAAAACAAGATTTTAATTCAAATATAAATTGAATCTTTCTTTTTTAATTTCAATAAAAACAAACCTGAAATCTTCCGACATCTTATATTTTTCATCTTTAGGACCACGAGCAACTACATGTTTAGCATCTTTTTTAGTATCACTAATACCAAATTGAGTTAAATCCTGACGAAATTCATCAGGATTACTGATAGCAAATCGTACATTAACATCTTCATCGGCTAATTTTTTTGCAACTTTTAACACACGATTACGTACATAATTTGTACCCTTTGTATCACGAACATAATCAACATTATAATAGACAACTACTACTGGTTTAGCATAATCAGCAGCATTAGATGAAGTTCGATGACCGACAAGACCATGACTAAAAAAAGTACGTAGATAAAAATTAACTTTAATAAAAAATTCATTTCCATCTTATATACTATTCTCATAAAAATAAATTTCTTGAGATCAACTCAGCCCATGTAGCACGTTTGTTCGTACTACCATCGGTGTAGTGCACAGTATACCGACCAAGATTTTCGATTAAGAGAATTCTTCCTTCAAAATATCCAAATTTTTAGTTCCGTCCTCTCTCCAATCGTTGATACTAAAGGATCTTTCAATGGTTTTTGTCCGGTTCGAATCACATGGGCAATCATCACTCGTTAATTTCAAAGTGAACATTAGTTGTAAAAATCAAAAGAAGGATATTTAAGAAATTAATTTCAAACTTTATAATCGATGGAACAATAACTTTCCAATTACTTTTCTGTCAAATTTAATCTACTTAATTAACTTCTACTTTCAAATAATTTCTTTCAAGTCATTTTTGCATATCAATAAAAAATACTTAAGAAAATTAACTTACATTTTTCCTTGAATATATGTTTTTATTTTATCACCAACACCTTCAACAACTGAAAAAGCATCTTCAAATTTTGATTGTAATCGTTTAGGTTGATGAACAACAATCTTACTTAAAAAAAAAAAAAGAAAATAAAGTTCTTTTTTTATCTTAATTATTATAAAACTTACTTTGAATGTCCTGCTTTATCAAGAACTTCTTTTACTGTTGTATAAGCAAAACGAAATTTTTCTGATAATTGATTAGCAACTTTAACAAGATCATCTTTTAATGAATTTGTCTCACTATCAAAATAACCTATGTAAATAATAAAAAAAATTCTTAATTTTCAATTCTTCTTTTTTTCCCTTAAAAGAACATACCAATAATACTATGATCATTATGTTCTAAAAATTTTTCATAATCAGCTACTGTTTCAAGTACACGATATGTTGGACCAGCTTTTGCTCTCATTGTCGAAACAATACCATCTAAAAACAAAATATTTATTCATTTGTTTCTTTTTTTTTTCATCTCGAATATTTACCAGCTTCTCGTGGACCATTGTAATCTTCTGCAACTTCACCATTTTTAAAAATTTTTAATGCTAAAAATCAAAGATATATCATATTCAAAAAACAAAAAAACAAAGTAATATAAAAACATACTTGGATAACCACCAACACCAAATTTAGAACAAGTTTGTTTTTCAACCGTACAATCAACCTATAAATTAATGTTTTTTTTTTTCTTATGAATTTAGTAAATAAGTTTTTTTTATTTTATTTTACTTTTGCCAATGCAACTGGTGAATCATCTTTTGCTAAAATTGTTGCAGCTTTTTCATATTCTGGTGCAAGTCGTTTACCTTATAAATAAAAAAATTTTCAAAAGGATTATTCGATAGTTCGAAATCGAAAAAAGAAATACACACAATGTCCACACCATGGTGCATAAAATTCTGCGAGTAATATATCATGTTGTTTAACCTTAGTATCAAAATCACTATCCGTAAAAACTAGTACATCACTTGCTATTGTCAAGGTTATTAAACTTATAAAAAGTATAATAAATAGGACTGAATGCATTTTTGTAAATATAAGCAATAACAACGGAAGATAAATGATATTCAATACTATTATAATAAATACAAGCCTATTTTATAATAGAATATACGATATTAAGACTTGGACATAAACGATTGGAGAAATTTTATTACCAATTAAATTTTAACAGAAATTAAAAATAATTTATTTTTCAAATAAATTCGAGATTTATTTATTTATTAGATGTTTTTTAAAGTTTGTTTAAGAAATTTTCTTATATGAAACAAATAAATGATATCCATTGGTACAAACAATTGCCAAACCAATGATAATCAATTATAAAATGATGTTCGCTCGTTTACAATCATCATTGAAGTTTATCTTCATCGGGTAAACATTTATATTTTATTATACTTGATCACTGAAGTGATCATTTGTAGAATGATTGCAGAAAGTAATAGAAATATGAAATTAAAAAATTTTGAAAATATATCTTATAGTAAACTTCATGAACTATTAATGTATTAAAAAAAAAATATTTTGTTTTATTATTCTTTCTTCAAAACAAAATTGAAGATATTTTTCTATCAACAAACAACACATACATGGTAGACAACCTTTTGTATTGTATATAACAATGATAATGCGTACTATTAATATAAGAGAAAATAAAAGTGTTAATTTTTCAGCATCTATGATCTGATAATGAAATTTTGCTGATACTTCGTGAAATGATTGAGCAAACAATTTCCTTCATACTGATGAGGAAACTCTTCAAATTGTTAAATCACTTTTGAATCGAGAGTATATGCATTAGGTGAAACTAAATAAGCTATGAATACTCTGAAACCAGTTCAAACTCATAACTTATTGTTGCTGAGATACTGTACTTTTCAGAGTTCGAAAATTCCAATTCGTTTCGAGCTCTGATACTTTTACAGTAGTTTTTAAATAAATACCACGATCCTCTTGAGGAACATCAGAAAAACTAATTTTCGAATTTTGACTTGAAACTTTGTATACAGACAAGTCTTAGCGAGAATAGTTTCTTGTGAAAGTGTCCGATCGTTTTTCGTTGTTCCTATCCTAAGATACAGCTATGTTAGCAGCTTGTCTTTTACATTGCTCATATATATCGGCAGATTCGATGTTCTTATTTCAGAATAGAAGCAAATTAAAAGACGTAAAACTATTCTCACTATGGTCTGTCTTTATAACTCTTTTCAGGATATCTATAGCTCATTTGGGTCTACATAATCTCGATTCAACAGCAATTTATCACTTGGAGAAATTTTCTTATGTGATGTGCTCGAACTACATCAGATTTACGAAATGTACAAAATAGGAGTTTTTTTTCAAGTCATTTTCTTCCCAATGGTCATTGAAGTGACTATACTGCCGTCTCAAATGAGATTTCATCTGATCGATCTGTCCATAGTATTGGTATATTGGATATTATTTCAGTAGTTGTTTCATTAGTGGTTATTCTGAAATCGTTATGAGGGATAAAGGATTAAGTGAAATGATGAATTATATAATACCATTTGTACTATAGATTATAAATTGTTCTTCACTGATGATCAAAAACTTATAATAGACAAAAAAAAAAGACAATCTCGAAATCGTTTCTATATTAATAATGAAATATTGAAAAAATTAAAAAAAATGCGAGAGAATGTTTATTTGACTTTTGACACTTTATTCAACTTTTTTCAAACGATGGAATAACTAACTAACATCTATTATTGAATTAATATTCTTATGAAACACAAACTCGTAAAACTGGAATATGAATTTGATTATGAACGTATTCATTATTTATTATATATGGTATTTCTACTGCTGATTGAATAAATAAATTCACGATTAGATCCTCTATTATATTGAATCACAGCAAAAACTTCATCGAATGTTATTTCACTGAACTCATCTTTGACAATTAGACATATTAAATAATAAAAGTGTATCACTTATCGAAATAAGTTCTATGAAAATTTGTCAAGTGGAAAATAGGTTTAAAATATTATCCTACTTTCTTAGTAAAAAATTCTACAAAATTCAATTTTTTTTGTTCGTAAATTTCGTTCGTTTAAAATTCTCATTTCATGAATTAAGTGATATAGACATCTTCTAACATCAAATCACTCATTAGTATCCACTAAAGAAAAAAAAAGAGTCAATATTCACATTTCTATTATTTCATTCAATCAATCGAGACACTTCAAAGCTCAAGATAAGTGTCTTGTCAAACTTCGAACCATTTGTGTTTTTTTTTTTACTTCTAATAAAGAGGAAAAAAAAATCGTTGTTCTTTTTCTCAGTTTTTTTTTTGTCAAATGTAAATATGAAAGTTTATTTTATTGGTTTGTCATATGTCTGTTTGCATTTGATGAAGTAAAAATCATGTCAGAATCGATGACATTGATCGAACATGCAAATATTCTAAATAAATTAAATTATCAAAATTTATTTCGCAATCGAATTTCTTCAAAAAATGATAATTTAAAATCTCTTTCAATTAATGTCTATTCTTCTCAATATTTGATATCATCTGAAAAACAATCAAAAATTTTTCGTACTGATGAACATATTTTACCACCAATTGAAAATGGATATCGACGAAAGCCAAAACGTCCATCTTATCGTACATCACTTTTTCATTCTAATAAATCAAATTCTAATCAAATTGATTTATCTTCATTAACAGCTCGTGGTACAAAATCAGAATTATTTACAACAATAAAAGATGATGATAGAATTATAAATTTTGAATATCATCATGTTCCACCACCAAGTCCATCTGATTATCAAATTGAACAATTATTATATGAATTGAATCGAACAAAACAATTTACACCATATTCAATAACAGATAAACATGATTATGTACCATATCGTTTACCAGCACTTAAACAATCATCGAGACGAGTACATTCAGAATTAAATTATCCACCTACATATTTTAAAACAAATTTATCGCAGAGTCATGAAACATTTGATTGAAAAGTGTTAATTTTGTTTCTTTTCTTTACCTTTTTTTTTCTTATTATTCTTCTATCTATAAAATATGAATTATTATTATTATTATTATTAGTGACTATTTAATAAATAGCCTTGATATTATCGAAAATTATTTAGTCTATGTACAAATGAATTAAATCAACTTTTCATCTCGTATAGGTAAATATTTTCCATGTCATAGTACCACCGGTAACGTCTATACCATTTTCGATTCCAGTGAATGTTTTGTATTCCAATTTGAATTATTTATTAGGAAGAATTCAAATTAATCGAGAAGAAAACAGTGTTAGAATATATTTTATTATTAAAAAATTTTTGCAGTGCCATCTGTAATAAAACATTTATCTCATAACCGGAACCAGTTTGGGCTCTGTGGATAGTACAAGCGAGTCAGATGCATCAACATTATCTGAGTGCATCAAAAATAATTTAATTCTGTCAATTTTAAATAGACTACAAAAATATTCATTCCTTTTAATACAGCACTTCCAAAAAAACACCGTCGATATAGGAGTAATAGTTGTCACATGGGCTGTCTACTGTGACTTTCTCCTTCTCTTCATTATTTCTGCTATAATGCATCAAAACTACTGTTTATATGTTGAATGAAAATAATTAATAATTATAACGCGAATTGACTTCACTTCATTCTGTTTATGTAATATTTTAAAACGGGAAAAAAAGAATATTTAAATGATTATTAAAATAAACGAAAATTCAAAAGTTTTGACGTCATAAAACTTAATGAATATATATATTTGGCTGAATTGTACTGCAATATTCATCAAATTCACATGTATCAAGACTGAAACAATAATAGAGAATTTTATGAAATAAAGCAAAGTTTTGTATTCTATTGAAAATTTCTTAGATTCACAAAAAATATTCAAATGAACGAAGATAAACAACACAGAGAATAATCTCTGATTACTTCAAAACTAATAAAGAAAGTTATATTCTAAAAATATCTGACATCTCGCCTAGATGAACACTCGACAGTATTCATTCAAAAGAGATTTTACTGTAATGATAATCGACCATCAGTAATAAGAATAGACTATTGAAAATAGAAGTCATTCAAATAATTTCTTTTTTCCGCAGTCACTTGAATGTACGAGTTTTAATGGATATGAATTGCAATGCTTCCATAAATAACTCAAGAGCAAGAGAAACAAAACAATAGAAGGCGTGTATTGTTGATTGCTGTTCGTGAGCAAATATTTTAGTCCTTTAAGGATGAAATTCTTTTTTGCGAAGTAAAATAATAGAAGGCAAAATTAATTTTCATTTTTAATCTTTCAAAGACTGTTACGGCATATATTTATGTTACTTATACCAAATCCTTTGAAGGATACTAGTTAGATCAATGATAAGTAGTATGCATCAATAGATTTGAACTGTTCGGAGACGAGAAAAATCTATAAGTGTCTGCCTTTCGGAATGGATTAAATAAGCTAAAAGGTTTTATCATGCTATAAAAAAAAAAGTTTAAAGTTCTTTCTTTTATAATTCGTAACACAGAAGTTCCAACAGGTTATCGAACCTGCCTTTCATGTTTTTCCTAAATTTTCACATAAAAAAATTTGTTTTCTTAAAAGAAAATGTAGGTATAAAAATATACGCTGGAAGCTGAGAAATGATTCTCTTATCATTTTCATGGGACTACAATTATTGTGACTTCATTATTGATTTGTCTATATGTTTATTTAGGTTTTTGTTTTTTATTCATTTCGATAAGTTGCTATTCACACTTTCTAGTCAATTGTTATTGGTATTATTTACATTCACATTGTCATAATATAGGTCAGTATTGAATAGAAAAAGGAAAGAGAATAAAAATGACGAAAGTAAATTTATTTCTTTGTTTCTTCAAGGGCAAACATAACACAAAAAAGAAATCGTATCCATCGTTCACAGTAATGAATAATATGATAGAGCATAAAAAATAACTCGTACTTGAATCGTTCCGATCAAATTATTGATTTATCTTATATTATATTCGGATATTTATTTAAAAACTAAAAGATATGAATAATAATTTAAACAATCGTCTCCTAAATTGTTTATTTCATTTAAAACTATCAAGCACAAAAATTCTTAGGTTTTTTGAATTACTTCTTTTCGATTATATATAAAAATCGATATCAATACAATATTTTACATAGATTAAAATTTCGTCGAATATGTATACTAACGCTATTCAGGAACAATTATATGAATCATTCTCTCTTTGCGAATATATAGACAAGGTTGAAAAAAAACAACTTGTTATCTATCGTGTTAATGTTTATATAACTTCAGATCGAGCAATAGTCAAATGATCTTCTCGATAGACATGACGAGAAAGAACGAGAATGATATTATCGACTATTCTTTGTTCAAAACAATGTATAGAAAGCATGATGATTTTATTGTTACGTCGGCCGATATGTACATATATGTGTATAAATAGTCGAAGCAAGAATATCATTCATTATACAAGATAGACTAACTATTTATCGAAACTATTGATATTACTATTTATTTACATTTTACAACATAAAAATTCTTTGAGAGGTAAGTCTCAAAAATGAATATCTTATTTTGATAAAAAGTTTATTTTAATTTAAATAAAATATTTTTTTTTTTAATTTTCACAGATAATAAACGTAATGAAAATTCGATTATATCTTGTATTGTTGATGCTTTTAGCATCAATAAATATATTTGGTATAGAAGGAAAAATGATAGGTGGAGATAAAGCTCGTTTAAGTCAAACAGAAATTGATCAAGATAGTCATGAACATATCGATTCAAGTTCAGACAAAATGATAATGAATACACAACAGGAAGCTCATTCAGTCGGACCTACTAATCAATTTGAAATTGGTCGTAAACTAAAACAAACTAGTGATGTAGTAAATAATGACATGAAATCTGTGGCAATTATAGATCAAGAAACACAATCTACTACAACAGTACCTCAAAAAGTTCAACAGATATCTGATAAAGATACAAAAATTAAATCTGTTAAAAAGAAATCTGATCGTAAATTACAAAAACCAATGAATGAATCACTTAACAATAAAACTGTTACAGTCAAAAATAAAAAAAGCAAAAAAACTTCTACGGTGAAACCTAATCAAAAAGTATCTATCAAAACTTTTTTTTTTTATTCTAAATAAACATCATATTTTCTTTTTTTTTTTTCGTTTTAATTTTAGATTGTTCATTTATCAAAAAACCGTGTTCATGTTAGTGGTAATATTGTTCTTGTTAAACATCATTCATCAAATAATGATTCAGTTGAATATTATCTTGATAATGGAAATTTAACAAATAGTAATTATTCATTATTACAATCACGAATACCATTTACTGAAAATTTTATTGCAAATCAAAGTCGTGTTACACTTTATGTTTCAACATCAAAAAAAATTAATCGTAAATTAGCATTTTCAAAATTTCATATTAAAATTAAACAAAATTATTTTCCACTTAAATTTCATATACATGTTAAATTAACAAATTTAACACATAATAATATTACATTATATTTTTTTGTTTATATAACAAATGGTGAAAAACGTATTAAAACATTTATTCCAGCTGGTAGTAGTCAAATACATTTACAAGGAACAAATCGACTTTCACAACAACTTGATATTCATATTAAAGCAAATGGTACTGAAATAATTGGTTTATTTCGTGGTCGTTATAGTCAACGATATATTCGATCAGGAACATATTTTCAAGTTTTTATCATACCAGAACAAAGTTTAGCACTTCGTTATAATCAAACATTTGATTCAATTGCTCAATTAAAAATAAAAAATGTACCTTCTATGTATCCAGTAAAATTTTCACTTTTAGTTCTTAATCATCTATTAAAATCAAATATAAACTATTATGCTATTGCTTATATCGTTGAAAATAATATTCGACGTTTAATTAATCAAGAACCTATATTAATTATTAATGAAAAACAAATTCTTATTACATCTCAAATTACTTTTAATGTTATTCCATCATCATTTATATTACATGGTACAGTTATACGTTCAATGCCTGGTTCATTTATTCTTCAACCACGTTCATCACTTATTTTACGTCTACATGAAATTGATTCTGATTCTCGTGATATTATTTTTAAATTATCTGATATATTAACACTTCCACGAACCTTTCATATTAATATAAGTCAATCTATTCGATTTGATTCATCAAAAAATTATGATATAAGTGCATTAATAATTGATGAAAAAAATACAACTTATATGGCAAGTCCACAACCTATTGCACTTGTTGATGATTTTTCAGGATTAATTTTACCTGTTGATGATCTTCTTTATTATGTTCAAGTTCGTCTTCATTCATCAACAAATGAAAAATTACATTATATTCCAGGAAGTCGAGCTCAAATATTTGTTACTGAAAGTCCTGATATGTTAATACAACCAATTTTTACTTTACATATTGATTCATTACCAGAATATTTTCATGAATTTTCATTTCAAATACCAGTAACAGCTATTCAACATGATCGTAATTATTATTTAGTTATAATAATTGATATGAAAGGAATAATTACACATGTATCAAAATCTTTATTAATTTCAAATAAACAACCACCACCACTTATTATTCAATTACCTGTATCATCAATTAATATAATAAGTGGTATGATATTTGATATTGAAAATCGTCCAGCACAATGGTCATTATCATCTTATGTTAGTCTTATTTTAATTGATGATACAGCTGAACATGTTGATCGTGCTATTGTTCAAGTATGGAATAAACGTTTAGAAAAAGATTTTCCTATTCGTTTCGAAATTGAACTTGATTTTAATCGTCTTCATTCGAATCATATTTATCGTTTACATGCTCTTATTAAAAATGAACGTAATATATTAGAATATGAACCAGCTGGTAGTATACTTGTATTAAATCCACATGGTGGTACTATAAGTGATATACGTATTCCAGTACATAATATTAAA